TCTGGTAATACTCTTTTGACCTCATGTTTCCTTTTTTGAGGTTTTGCGCCTAATATTGTAAAATTGTTTTGCTGAGATATTCTCTCCTGTGTAATATTTTCATTGTCATCATTCTTCTTTTTATTTGTTAAATCTTCTAATTCTTCAGTTTCTTCTACTGTTGTAGAATGATCTTGGGTTTCAATATATTTTCTCTTCTTTTTCTTTTTTGTCGATACTTTACCCATTTCTGTAGTCTGTTCATTGATTTCTTCATTGGTTTCATCTTTGTCTTTAATGTGTGAATCACTAATTTCCTTTGCATCCTGTAGATGTTTCTTTTTCTTTTTCTTAGGCTCTTTTAAATTGTTTTTACCCACCTCTAATGTAGATTTATTTTTTTCTGCAGCCCTTTGTTTTTTACACTCTTCAATCCTTTTCAGCAATTCAGAAAGATGATTTGTTTCATTTTCAACCTCCTCCTTGCTATCACCTTCAAATCTGTATAAAATATACATACGTTATATTAAATAAAAATAATAAAACATTTTTCCACCTATTGATATCATTCAGATACTATTGTATAAGAAGCATTGCATTACCTGTTCATAACAAACAAACTCATCTTTCTTTCAAATATAGTTTACATATAACAATGTAATAATATCAATAAAAAAATATCAGCATAATTATATAAAAAATTAGCCAGAGCATCTAAATTGTACACAAACCATATTAACAATTTTAATGATGGTAATTAATGAAAACTATTACTGTATTTAATATCCTTGAAATAAAAGTACTTTAGCTTAGTATTAATTGTATGCAAAGAATATTATGCAAAGAAATAATCACAAATAAATAGATATTTCAAGCCGGTATTAAAATGCACGTGAACGCACGTGCAATTGCTAGGTTAAACGCCACATTGAATTCTGGTCTGAACAGCTGATAAAGAGTGTATGCCATCTAGTGGCAATAGTTAATCTTACTGAAGCTGTCAAAGCGTTCGTCAAAATATATTCTCCTGATAACTCCCAAGATTTTTCGAGGGTATTGCCGGTAGAGAACCCTGAAGTAACAGTTGAAGAGTGAGGTGAGTCGTGGTTGAGTGCGATTGTGCGGTTGACGAGTACGTGTCGGCTGCAGTTTCGCGATAAGTAGTGCGAATTCTCGGGGATACGCACGTGTGTGCATCGCGAGGGATCTCGCCGCGTTCGCGTACAGTTCGTTGCGCACGATTAAAGTAAACCGAGAAAGCGGTGAGTTCTCTTGGCATCGTTTGGTTAGGAAATGCCGGATAATGCGACACCGGTGTTTACGAGTCGTAGATCTCCGTGGAGATATGAAGCTCGAGTTTGTTGCGCATTGCATTTTCCTATATAGTTCCACCCATGATATAAAGAGTCTTTACACTGTGTAATTGCTTTAGAATATATGTCATATATGGAATACACTCAAAGATCTTCGTATTTCGCGTTTATGTATTGTTATGTCTGTGTATATG